CGCCATTCTCAGAAGCCACTTCCTCTTCCTCCTCCACCTCCTCCTCGTCCTGATTTTCAATATCCGATGAACTCTCCTCATTATTACTCTCCTTATCGGAAGTATTTTCTACATGTTGGTAACCTTTTTCCTTTTCTATTAAATCACTTAACAACTTTTTGTTCTTGATTAAACCTTTATCGATTCCTAACTCTGCAAGTCCATCTAGAAACGTATTCAGCGCACGAGGCTTGATAACCTCTTGTTATGAGGGAGTAACACATACTCAACTAGCTCGGCGATGTTTGTGACGGGAATAGTGCGTTTATTTCGAAGTAAAAGAATATCTTTGGACGCGGCCATACTATGCAGCAAATCAGAAGCACGCTTTTCCGGCACTGCTCGGGAAAGATGACTCAAAACATCTTTTATTCTTGGTTCTTCATCCTCGCTTTCATCACCAGAACTTTCGCTTTCTTCATGTTCACTCTCGTGATCTTCTTCTTCAACCAAATCTATCTTTCTCTTCATTTTGATGAGTACCAGTGACAGACTTAGCTTCGAATGATCAACCTAGCGATGCGTCACCTCTTTTATAGCATTAGAAAGCCTAAGCTTGAAACAACAGGGGCTAATACATCTTCAATAAAACCACTACCCTCTTGTACAAGGACTCGCTTCTTTGTTTCGTATCAAGAAAAGTGGGTCCAATTCGAAAACAATAGGTATTGTTTTCTGTTGTAAAATTAGCCATATTTGGTCATTTTTGAAATGACTTAAACAATGGTCTCTTTACACATGCAAAATTCCGATTACTACCGAGGCGGCAAATTTGAAACTTCGGCGAGTGTCAAGGAGTGAACAATATTCCTCGGGGGGAGGGTAAGGGTTACATTTGCCTCAAAGCAAAACTCACTTAGAGGGAGGGGCACAAAAATACTGTCGTCAACCTATCGGTTCGGTTACACAACTGCAAAGGTTGGTTAAGGCCCTTTGCGAATATTGGTCAGACTGCATTCAAAGATTTTTTTTTACAAGTTTTTAAATTCAGCTTTCAAATCTCGCGCTTCATTGATTCATTTGAATAACTAATAGACACACTCAGTGGGTTATTAAGTTCGAAGTGGTAAACTTAGCATTCAAACCTCGCGCTTCGTCGATTCATTTGAATAGATTCGCACCCGGCTACCCGGAGAAAAAAATCTTTCATTTCAGTCTACTACAAAGTGTTTTTCATCGAAAAGAGCGGGACATACTGTCGCTTTTGATTTCGCTTCGCAAGGCTTCCTTGCTTTTCACAGCGTTATGAAAAAAAGCATTTAAATTTTGCTTCAGTTGTCTGACAAAGAGAATGAATAAAAAGTCTCACATCCGCGGCATTCAGCTATTGAACTAAAGCGTGCCCTGTTCGTGCCTTGTTTTATCCGCGCGCGCTCACGTTCTAATCCAAGTTCTGCGTAAAGGCGTTTTCGTCATGAAAACTTGGTTCAACTTTGGAATTGTTTTATAACGCTTCTAGCAATATCTATCTTTTCGCGTGCTTACCGGCAATGGGATATTAAAGGCCAAACAACTCTAAGTTCAGCTTTCAAATCTCGCGCTTCATTGATTTATTTAAATAACTAATACACGCACTCAGTGGGTTGTTAAGTTCAAAGTGGTAAACTCAGCATTCAAAAATCGCGCTTCGTCAATTCATTTCAATGAATTCGCACACGGCTACCCGGGGAAAAAGATCTTTCATTAAGATTCTACAAAGTGTTTCATCGAAAAGAGCGGGGCATATTGTCGCTTTTGACTTCGCTTCGCATGGCTTCCTTGCTTCTCTCAGCGTCATAAAAAAGCATTTAAGTTCTGTGCTTCAGTTGTCTGACAAAGAGATGAATAAAAAGTCACACATCCCATTCAGCTATTGAACTAAAGCGTGCCCTGTTCGTGTCTTGTTTTATCCGCGCTCGTGCAAACGTTTTTATTCTGTTTTTATCTGTTGTCGAACTCGCTTGTCCATTTTTTTATAGAGAGCAATTGATCGAGAGTTCAATGCCCTCGCCAATACTAACAACAATAAGCGAACAACAATGATCTGAAAAATCTCACCTTTGTAAAGTTCCGCCCACAGGCTAACAAAGCATTTCGTTCTTAACGTTTCGGAATTCTCGTAAAACTCTTTTCTTTTCTCGGGAGAATGAAGATGCACACACAAAAAAGTCGCATAAATTTTCAGAAGGAAAAGTTTGCGGATTACAAAGGTCGTGAAAACGTATTCTGGGCCGCTTGGGTGAGAATAAGAACGAAAGTCGTTCAATCTTAGAAAAAGGTATGGATTACATTCAAAGATCGCACCTCTGAATGTAGGACGCGCAAATAATAAGCTTGTTTTAATAACTGTTTAAGAACGCTCTCTGTAAGGTATTACTGAAATTTTTTTTTGTTCAGAGCGCTCAGTATAAAAGTGCGATCCGATCAAAAGCATCGCGTCAAGGCAAAAAAACCCTCTCCCCTCCCCCCTAGTATTACAAATTTGTCACGCCGAAGATTAAACGATCATGCACAGACTGTTCGGTCTGTTTTCGCTAGTATCACCTAGGACAAAAGGCTGTTGTTTTGATGAATTGGACCCGGTACAATAGACCATTTCTTGATACGTTGTAAGGGACATTTGGACTGGCCAGGTTAAGTAAAGCATCCTTATATGGCAGCAATATCCGCTTATTTTCTTCGGGGATGGGAATATGTCTCATAAGTATATTGTAGAAGACTTGGACTAGTGCATGTAGTTGTTGTGGAGTAGCTGTCTTTAAAAGAAACTGGCGCTGATAAGCAGGGCAAGCAGCCAACAGCTGAAGAAAACCACGATTGTTGTTTAGTACGCGAGACATTGCTACAAAATGAACTAAGAATGGCAGTTGGTAGTTGAAACGAGTGGGCGAAGGATAGAAAACAATAGAGTGAGGAGGAGGAGGAGGAGGAAAAACAATAGAACTGAGGAGGAGGTGGTGGAGGAGGAAAAACAATAGAAATGAGAAGGAGGAGGAGGAGGAGGAAAAACAATAGAAATGATGATGATGATGAGGAGGAAAAACAATAGAAATGAGGAGGAGGAGGAGGAGGAGGAGGAGGAAAAACAATAGAAATGAGGAGGAGGAGGAAAAACAATAGAAATGAGGAGGAGGAGGAGGAGGAAAAACAATGGAAATGAGGAGGAGGAGGAGGAGGAAAAACAATAGAAATGAGGAGGAGGAGGAGGAAAAACAATAGAAATGAGGAGAAGGAGGAGGAAGAAAAACAATAGAAATGAGGAGGAGGAGGAGGAGGAAAAACAATAGAAATGAGGAGGAGGAGGAGGGGGAAAACAATAGAAATGAGGAGGAGGAGGAGGGGGAAAACAATAGAAATGAGGAGGAGGAGGAGGAGGAAAAACAATAGAAATGAGGAGGAGGAGGAGGAAAAACAATAGAAATGAGGAGGAGGAGGAGGGGGAAAACAATAGAAATGAGGAGGAGGAGGAGGAGGAAAAACAATAGAAATGAGGAGGAGGAGGAGGGGGAAAACAATAGAAATGAGGAGGACGAGGAGGGGGAAAACAATAGAAATGAGGAGGAGGAGGAGGAAAAACAATAGAAATGAGGAGGACGAGGAGGGGGAAAACAATAGAAATGAGGAGGAGGGGGAGGAAAAACAATAGAAAAGAGGAGAAGGAGGAGGAGGAAAAACAATAGAAATGAGGAGGAGGAGGAGGAGGAAAACAATAGAAATGAGGAGGAGGAGGAGGAGGAAAAACAATAGAATTGAGGAGGAGGGGGAGGAGGAGGAGGAGGAGAAGGAGAAGGAGGAAAGAAAACAATAGAATTTTATGGCCTGAAAACCTATATAAATGCGCAACATTCTACCTCTTTCTCAGTCGACATTTTGCTCCTGAGGAGTTGACATGAGTTGGCTCTGTTCTGTCTGCGAAAAATCCTTTAGTAGAAAAGACAATATGCAAAGGCACGTGATCAAGATTTAGAAAATGTTCACAATTGGCTGAGAGCAAATAAACTTACTCTAAATATGACTAAAACCGAATTGATGCTTATCGGATCTAGGCAGAGGCTAAGTACTTTCACAGAGTCCCCGACATTTGCAATTAATGACTTTCAAGTTAGCCAGGTCACTACTGCAAAATCCCTTGGAGTGACCATCGATGACAGACTTGATTGGAGTGGCCATATCGAGAAAGTAACAAAGAAAGTCGCTTCTGGTATTGGGGCCATAAAACGAATAAGGCACCTTGTCCCTCAGGCGACGTTACAACTAATATATCAAGCTTTAATACAGCCACACTTTGATTATTGCAACATTGTTTGGGGAAACTGTGGGATAACCTTACGGAATAAGGTTCAAAAGCTACAAAACAGAGCAGCCCGTGTTTTGACCTACTCAAGCTATGACGTAGATGCGGGTCACCTTTTCAAACTTCTAGGGTGGAAAAACCTAGCTTGCCAGCAACAATTTCAAAGAGCTACGATGGTTTACAGGTCTCTACACGGGTTGGCTCCAAACTATCTTAGTTCTAAATTTGAAAGGCGAGAAGTCGCATATAACCTAAGGGACTCTGAAAATAAACTCAATGTTCCATTACCGCGCACAAACTATTACAAAAACAACTTCAGCTATAGTGGCGCCATTCTCTGGAACAGTCTTCCTTGTAACTTAAGGGAAGCAGAGTCCCTTGGGCAATTTAAACGATTACTCAAAGAACTGTAAGGCACGGCATTCTATCTATCTATCTATCTATGTCTAAACACCGCAATGCTGGTCTCACCCCATTTCAAACAGTTCCAGTGTTCTCTCAGAAATGTCAGCGGTTTCGCTTCGAGCATCCTTTGACCTCCATGATTTCCGGAATGACCGGGTCCAGAAAAACGGCCTGGTTTTGATCGCTATTGCAACAAGCTTCAGAGACCATTTACCCTCCCCCTGAGAGGATCGTTTGGTGCTATTCACAATGGCAGCCTGCGTATACACAAATGTTAGTCGCCATGCCACACATTGAATTCGTCAAGCGAATTCCTACGGCTTTGGAGCAGGATTCCTATTTTGATGTGAACAAACGGAATTTGATCGTGTTTGATGATGAGATGATTGACGCCAGTAAAGACGAGCGAATTGTGAACCTCTTTACTCGTGGTTCTCATCATCGCAATCTGAGCGTGATTTGTATCGTGCAGAATCTATTTCATCAGGGGAAAGGTAATCGCAGCATAAGCCTAAACAGCCATTATCTGGTGTTATTCAAGAATCCACGAGACAAATTGCAAATCTTGACTCTGGCGAAGCAAATGGATCCCGAGCAGACTGATTTCTTAACTACTACGCAAGGTAATTGTCGGTTGCGAACAAACGTCCTGCCCAGTGAAGAAGGCTTTAACCAAGCAGGGTTTCAAGGAAATATTCCTCAAGAGCTTCTAAAATATCTGAAGCAGCAAACTCTTTCGCCTGTCCCACTTCTTCCAGCTATGCAAGAAATACAAGGCAACATGGATGACGTGCTTTGTCGAAACGATCTTCGGGACGATGAAAAAGCTAAGCGATACTGTCAGTTGCAAAACAGATACCTGGCTTTTAAAGAACAATTAAATACAAGAACACGACCGGAAGAAATAATCCGCACTGTTCCAGACTTAACATCAAGGACCCAAGATTCTTCGACAGCAACGACAGCATTCTCCACTCCCCTCAACCCCTTTAATGTAACACCTGAATTAACACAAGCAGTTATCTCTCAAAAACCTGACAAAGAAAGTCTCACCCCTCCACCACCCTTAAATCCTGCTTTCCTGACCCCTCCTCCCACAGTAGAAACCCCATCACAACAAGGCCCGAAGCGCAAAAGGCGTCGGATTCAATTTCTAAATTATTTGGATGATCATTAATCTCATGGCAAACAGGTGAAGAAACGTCGGCATAAGAAATTCAAGCCTTACAAGTACTCCATGGGTGAAGAGGAAGGAATTAATTAATTTCCATACCTTACAAATCGCTGTGTATTTGACTCTTTTTGTTTTTAACATAGTTGTTTTAAAACGGTATCTCGTGTCTGATTTTATTGCTAGTAATTATTAGTCGCGTGTTTTAATTGATCCTTGTTAAGTTATTTGTTTATATAATTAAATAATACGTCACGGTGCTCCCTTGGGTCTAGCTGTAGAGATGAACTAATTTGTATTCAACTTTGGGCTTATGAACTCGCATAATTAACTGATTAACCGTGCGTGAAAGTGACAAGACTTTCATTTCCTGGAGATAGATAGGAGAAAACGTCAGACAAAATTGAAATAGAGTTTTCAGCTCCACTTTGTCTATGTGTTTTGTTTATATGTCTGAGTTAAATAAGATATAGGAAGCCGGAAGCCGTTTCTTTAATAGACGCTCCGAAAACCAGGCTCAAGCTACTTACCGGGCAAGCCTAAGGCAAGCCTATTGTTCCTATTGTAGTAGAGTGACGCTTATTAGTAAACCTATACCGAATTAACATGCAGGAAGACACTGACTAGGCACTTAATTAATATGCGGGAAGGCAGTGGCTAGGCACCTAATTAGTATGGAGGAAGGCACTGACTAGGCACTTAATTAATATGAAGGAACGCATTCCCCCCCCCCCTAGGTTATAACAATGGGTGACGTCATTGACTAGACCTAGCTAGACCTTGCTAGACACCAACGAGGCTTATCAGTACTACAAGCAAGGGATGCCCTCCTGTTTTTAAGTTGACCTTTCTATGTCCGGCGAGACTAATTCTGTAGTCGTTTGGTACGAAATGCTCTGAAGAACAATATCCTTTTTTCCCATCTTCTACTTGATTCAGGATCTGATGAAAATTTTTTGGTATATAGATGAGATCCGGCCGATTTTCACTTTATTTTATGTGGGTGCAGCACTTGTCTTATTTTGCTTACAAGAATCTCGTTGTTACGTCGCCATTTTGAGTATGAGGGCCCTTAAGCCTAACTTCCGGTTTTTTCCTGAAGCCGCGTATTCGTGTTTAATACGAGACGATCAGCTGTAAACTTCACTTTCCGGAGGAAGTTCTACGGGAAAATACTTGAAAAACAATACTTACAATACAATACCGTCAATACGTGAAAACCTATACGTCAAACAATACGTCAAATCCATTTCGTCACGTAGCGGTGTGGTGAGAAATATTTCTCACAGACAAAATGTGCCGGGTTAGATTCTTGCAAAAGCTTGTTTTTTCTTTCTTGTTTTTTTTTTTTTTCATATATTTTCTTTTCCCGATTGGCGTCTTGCTAAGCGCTGACCCGAAATGGTTAGCTTTCATTTACTGTTAGGTTTGTCACTAAATATAAATATGCAAAACAAAATTTAAGTTGCAGTCAAATAGGTGGTTTTCAGGTTACGTCATCGCCGCCATGCTGGTAGATAATAGTTAGCTATTTTTTGAAGCAGAATGGGCGATTCAACATAATCGTCCTCAGCCTCTAACAACGAAAATAACATGTCATTGATATGTTTTTTGTAAGCTCTCTTAGGGAGGTGACGAAGTTCATCGCAAATGGAGTTATAAAGCTTAGCCCCGAACCTAGCAAAAGAACCATGGTTTTGATTCAGTCTCGATCGTTTAATATAAAAATTGCGCAAGGAGGAGAACCAGGTCTCGTGATTATGCTTTTCATTAGCTTTAATGAAAAGATTACTAATGTTAGTGGGAACAGTTAGACATGAGACATCGAACATTATTGTGGAAACTGTTTCAACGTATAACATATTTAAAGCAAGGATGTTTGAGAAGGTAAATAAAGGCACCGCATGTGCTCTGGGTTCAGAAAAATACATCAACCAGAGTACACATTTTTAAAGCACGAGGATTTTTTGTAAATGGGATTTAGCAGCTTGACCCCAAGCAGCCTAGCCATAGGATTGGTAGAGTAGTGTCAAAGAGCGATAAATACTTCATAGAGCGGTAAAAGGGGCAGGTGCCGAAGACGGACAATAACTCCAATAATTCTACTTATTTTTAGTGCTACATTGTCAATGTGGTATTTCCAGCTAAATGACTATCCAGTAAGACACCTACATATTTTACATGATCCTTACACTCAAGGGAAAAAGGAATGTGATTACTGTTATCAAACATTAGAATGTTGACCGAATGGTCCATCTTACGTTGCTGAGGACGAAAGATAACAAAGTTTTAATTTTTTAGCATTTAATGTTAGCTTATTTGCATTGAGCCAATCCGAGACTCTGACCAGTTCGTTATTGACCGTTTTTGCAAGAGATTTAAGATTTTTGTCGCCATACAACAAATTTGTGTTATCTGCAAAAAGGTAAAACGAAAATTTCGCTGAAGCATTATGAAAGTCATTAATATAAATTAGGAATAACAAAGGACCAAGAACAGAGCCTTTTGGGACACCACATGAGATCTCTATTAATGGTCGATAAATTAGAATCTATTTCAGTCACTTGTGAACGGCCAAGAAGATACGAAGAAAACCAGTCGTTAAATGATGCCCTTGATACCATAGTGATTACGTTTTTTCAGTAAGATTGAATGATTGACGGTATTAAAGGTCTTTTTTAGACTTATGAATTCAAAGTAAATTATCATTATCATAAACAATCTCCTAGAATCCTTTGAGGCAATTTTTTTAAAAAAGCTTTATAACTTTGACAATTTTATACGTAGAAGACTGTCAGGCCACAACAACATAACATTTGCCCTAAATATCTTTCCATGTCACATCTAAGTTTATGACGTCATCAGTCGCGTGACTATTTCCGAATCAGCCTTTTTGTTGCTGTGACAAGATTACATTAACGAGTTAAAAACAAATAGCATAACTGCGGGAGAGAATGATGATGATGATTTATATTATGCAACAACTTCTTTGTAAGCTGTAACAGTTTGCCATCACTGTTTAGGGACCTTGCGCTGATCCCGGGGATTACTCCCCTATATATAAAAAGACATATAGCAGTAAACTTTCACCGCGAACATTTTATCGACCCGACTAATTGTCCCTAGGTCTCTGAGGATGGTGCTTCTCCAAAGGGTAGGGATTTTGCGCAGTTTTGGTCTGAAAACGGGTATAGACTTTGCTCATTTTGGTCTGGAATCGGGTTTGGTTTTCTAGGGAACTACGGGAGTGTAATTGTTTCAATTCCAAATAAAGATAAATATGCAAATTCGAAATGGATTTTTAGAAATCTTTCTTGTTGCTGTTCTAATCTAAGTAATGATGGCATAATTTCATAAAGGCCAGGCCTGAGAATGGGTATGGATTTTACAGGCGGGGTCTGAAAACGGATGTGAAAAATGACATTTTTTGGTACGAAATATGGTCAGGAATTGGAGAACATGGCGGCACTGCCCAACCAAGAATTCCCAGGTGTACCCTCCGCGGACTGACTTTGTTTTAAGGAACGCTAGAGTTCGATTCATCTTCGCCGCCTTTTTCACCCAGTTAGACATTCTAAAGGGCAGGTTGGTTGTTTTACTCCCAAAGGTGAAATTTTCCATGAAACTGGGTACTTAAATTAAAACTATAAACGACAGCCTCATAGTCACGCCCTGATCACACATTTCTTCTACATCGTAAAAGCTTTCCTTCTTTCTCCAAATTTTGATTTAAATTACCATGGATCTTATGTGTGCAAGAACAGTCAAAACTCAATCGCGGAGACTTCCTTTCCATCAAACTTAGAGACATTTGCAAATCAATAATCCAAAAAAAGCCCTTGGGAGTGTATTTGTTAACTAAAGATAGAAGCCACGTAATTGATCTGAGAAAGAGAGGATTGAAAATGATCTGTTTCAATATCGAGATGCTTTTAATTTTGAGGTTTAAAAGCCAATGTATCGCTAAAAGATACGGAAATTGTTACTGAACAGTATAGAACGTGATGACGTTCCTTTTAATACCTGATTTGTCAAATACAACATACAATATGTAAAGTTTCAAATGAAAGCAGACAGAGGGGAATATTGGATTGTTCTACTTCAGCCTCAAAAGAAAGCAATAAAAGTTAGTTTCCTAAAAATAACAAATGCAATAAAGAATGAAATTAGTCAAAGGAAACAGACGTTTGCATGTTTTAAGGTCTCTTAGAAAGGAGCAATACTCTCAAGTAGAGATAGAACATTTATTTAAGTCCTTAGTTCTACCGAATTTTACATATTGCCTTTCTGTGTATGGAGCGTCTGGATCACATTTGAATATTATAAAACTGTTTGTTGGATCGCTGCCACAAGCACCGCTTTGTTTCTTCTCCAGTTTCTATTAAGGATCTTTTATATAGACAGGACTGCAAGATTTTAAAGGCTATTATCTTCTCTGTAGATAACCATCCGCTAGGCTCGTACTTACCACCAACAAAGGAGAATAAATATAATCTGCGTAAAAAACAGTATGCCCTCCCAAGGTAAATACTGAACGATTTATGACATCTTATGTAAGTAGACTGATTTTTAAACGCAAGATAAGGTAGTTTCTACGTAACATTTTATTTGTGGTGTAACTAGTTTAATTTTTAGGGTAAATTTTTATTGAGTGTATACTAGAATGTAACAAAAGATGTTTACTTTTATCTTTTAGCAATAAAGACTATCTTTGAACACACCTGGCTGCTAAATGAAGAGGCGTCCATCGATAGTCACTCGTCCCCACGTTGATATTCGCTCCATGACCTAGCAGTTTTGTCACTGATCTGCTGAAATTATACCGAGCAGCGACATGGATTAGGGCAAACCCCTGTCCGACTATTTTATCAATTTCGCACTTATCTGTTAGGGTAGAAAGCTCTGCTTCGACCAGATCCATTTCATCTTCTCGGATAGCTTCAAACAGCTTTAAAGCAGGAGGTGATATTGGAGTTACGACCTCAC